AACTGGCTCTAAAAAGGCATAAGGCTGGTTTGTTAATTTACGAGACAAAGAAGAAATCTCTTCCTTCCAGTTGGTGCCGGCGGGGTTGAGATACTGAAGGAGCACTGGGGATTTCCACGGTCCTGCACCAGGTGACGAGAGAGCAGCTTTCTGAGCGATGACACTGTTCCTTCTGTGCTCAGAGGATGTCTTAAGCAAGCAACGGCCAGGCTGAATGCTGTTTCCTTGTCCATTTTTTCCAGTGCTGAGCCAGGAACATGAGATACTAGAAAGGTGAATTTCTGGCAAATCCTTGAGAAAGGAGACATTTTCTCCTGGGGATGCAAGAGGGTTGGTGACATTGAATTGAGAAATTGCCCAATTTTCCATCGATTTGAGAGGGAAAAAAATCAAGGTGAAACAGTTGGGCCTGATTTGTGTGACTGAGCTGTAGAGGCAGGTGCCACCCAATTCTCATTTTCTTTAGGCAGTGCATCTGGACAACAAGATCACGCTGCTCCCTGGTCTGAGGACACACTTAGAAACAGGGGAGGAGGTGCATGTCTTCATTCTTGTTCTTCCAGACACACGCTTAGAGTATGCGGAGTTTGGGCTACTCTGCTGTGCAGCAACAACCAGACATGATTAAAATAAGACACGTGTAGTGTAGAACAAAAGAAACCACAAATCTCCAATATAATTGGAAGGATAACATTTATTACATCCTTATGCTGGACAAGAGGGGCCCTTGTGGCACAGTGGTTACGTCTTGGGCTGCTAACTGCTCCTGGGTCGAAATGCAGGTCTTTCTAAAGTTATAGTATTGGAAACACAGAGGTAGTCCTACCCTGTTCCACAGGGGTAATATGAGTTGGCATTGACCCAGTGACAGTGAGTACACAGGACAAAGACAAGACAAAGACACATCATTGGAATATGAGAGACCATCAGCAAGGGGTCATAATGGTGTCCAACGTTTGCTGAAACTCACTAACTTAAAAAGAACAAACCAGGAGGGGCAGGGGCAGGGGCAGGGGCAGGGGAAGGTGGGGGAGAAAGGGGAACCGATCACAATGATCTACATATAACCCCCTCCCTCTGGATGGACAACAGAAAAGTGGGTGAAGGGAGACGTCGGAAAGTGGAAGACATGAAAAAAAATAATACTATTTTATAAATTATCAAGGGTTCGTGAGGGAGGGAAGGGGAAAATGAGAAGCTGATACCAAGGGCTCAAGTAGAAAGAAAATCTTTTGAGAATGATACAACAAATGTACAAATGTGCTTGACACAATGGATGTATGCATGCATTGTGATGAGTTGTACAAGTCCCCAATAAAATGATTAAAAAAGTAATAACAAGAATAAAGAAATAAATAAAAAGAACATGGGAGAGCCAAGGAAACTATCACAAAGCATGATTAGTGGCAGATTAATACATCATAGTTACAGGTGGGACTACAGAAGCAAGACCTGGACTGTAATTGAGACATATCCATTATGGTAGAAGAGCTACAAGATCTGTTCAAGGCCTTCTGGCCAAGGCAGTGAGGGCATGACTCACAATTCTGCAACCCCAGTAGAGCAGTGTCCCCTCATGGATTCACCTAGGCAAGGCCCTAAAGGAAACTGCCCCTCCCTGGGCTGAACATGAGGTGATGGTCATCTACTGTCCAGTGTACTCTGCCTGAGAGCAATCTGGTTCACATCCCTAAATAACGGTCAGAAAGAATTCAGAGGAGACTTAATCCATGTGGGCACTCTAAATGGATTTGGGGCCTCTATTGTGATTCATAGCCTTCTGAAAACTGAGGGTTCAGTATGTAGGCTCAAATATAATTACCTCCTCTGATCATGAATTTTATTGTTAATAATCCTTTGATGAGTTATCATACGGACTTTGGTTAAACTCCTGTTTCTATGAAATATTATCTATGTGGACTTGGGAAAGTGCCTTAGCATTTCTGTTTCCCAATTTCTCTATTTGTGAACTGAACAGTACAATAGGAATACCACAAAATATTATTGTGACAATTGGGCAAGGTAAGTGACATTCTGAGGGTGTCTGGCCATACACTTTCAAAATGAAGGTTCTATTGTTTTCTTCTTTATATATAACCAATATAACTCTACTAAATGTTTTTATATTCAGTATTCTGATTATATCAAATTTTCAGCTTCAGAGAAAATGGTTGAACTAGAGAATGTTAGAGCACAATAGAATTACGTCCATATATCTAGATCCAGATACCTAAATCCAAGGTTCTTGGCATCCCCCTATTTCACCATTTCAATATTACAACTATATCAACTGATCATTCGTCCTCATTTTGGTTAAACTTATTATATACCTTTGCCATCTCACCTGTTTTATACCCCACATCTACCATCTCCTTCACTGCCATTCTCAATCTAGCAAAATCCCATCACTCTTCAAGTCAGAACCACCTGTCAATCATGAAGTGCCTCACAGTACTTAAGATAGTGCCTTTCCTTCATGTTCGTTTCCTTCTAGTTTAGATTATGATGATCTATTTACACACATTTTGCATCCCCAGTAACAAATGCCTAAATTCTCAATGAGTTATCTTTTTAATAGAGAATGTACATTCTTCAAGTATGAATCGTTCACACTTAGAAAAATATAAAAGATACTTAGGTCTTGACCTTAATAAAAATATATAAACTCACTAAAAACTGGCTACTGGGTAAATAAATGCATAAATAAGTATACTTCTATCTTTGACTCAATTTTAAAACTTAGTCTACACATCAGGAACATCAACCTCCCTATCTCCAACCTCACTGGTTTCTGATATTTCAGCCCTCCCTCCATTCTATTCATACACAAATGATGAGGTTGGACCAATCTCATCAGTAAGGTTTGTAAATTATCCAAGTATGTTTCAGTGCTCTAAAGTGCTCTAATACTAACTGAAAGGTTGATGAGCTGAACATACCCAGCGGATTGCGGGAAGACAGCCCTGGTAAACTATTCTGAAAGATCGCAGCAGTCAAAACCCCAGGAGCAGTTCTGCCCTGCGTAAGTTGAGCCGGTGTGCATCGGAATGCAGGTTACAGCAACTGACAATGCAAAGAGATGAAGCATTCCAGTGCTCAGATGGTTTCAAAGGTGCTATTGATCTAGGCCACCTTTCCTCAAGTAATTTCCTAATGACTTTTGTGTCTACTTTGTCATCGGTCCATAATTTATAAGAGGCAAGTCAGTGTTATCTGACCCAGAACACACGTCTGATATTATCTGACATGTCCTAGCATTAAGCTAATGCTGCCAAGAAACCGATAGTTCAAAATATGATAATTCAAAAAATATGTACCACACTGCAGTTTTCACATCCCAGGAGTTACATCCCTTCCTTGAGTTAAGATTCTAAACATGATAATGTTTTATTAATAAGATACTATAAAATCAGTATGTGCTTCAGGCCAGTGCACACCCCTAACTTTGAGGTTTAATCATGGGAACCAGCTCTACCAGGTTGGCACTTGACTCAGTCAAGGATGTTAAAAGCATAAAATAATCCGATGTAGTACTGAGATGCTTCACTACAAGAGATTACAAACATTATCTAAATGGAAATGAGGGTTTGCATCTGTTGACACTCATAGTGGAGGTTAGGACTGAGGGAGTGGCGCTATCACAAACAGCACAATGACAGATCCTGAACATGCTACCCACCCCATGTAGTCTTTGAATTCATGTGCCCTAACTGTAAAATCAGAATGTAAATTGGTGCCTTTCCACAGTGCTTGGTTTTAATTCAACAAAGATCTAATCACTTTCTACTCAGTGTGCAGCATATGAATAGTTGGTTCCCCTGGGGCTTAAAACACATGTCACCTAGCTTACTCTGTCCTTGATGCTAGTATTTCTGTTTAAGGTCCTCAGTTGGATAAGTGAAAATCAGGGGCATATCCAGGTTTTACGGAACTTAAGCTTATAAAACTTGGAAAGACACGTTTTAAGAAATAGATTAATTTTTTTTTCTAAGTGTGGTTGCAAAGATCCCTTGGAAATCAGAGACACCGAGGGAAAGGCCTCATTTGCTTCTCAGCAAATCCTCCTGGGGGCACAACACAATCATACTTGCCCTACTAAAGTCCTCTGGTTAGTAGCCTGTTGAGTGTTTATAAAAATTGGAGAGATAAAAACAAGGATGAAGATAATGGCATATAAAGAGCATACTTGCACATCACTTCAAACTCTTGCCCTTACTCAGAGTAAACTCATATCAGTAGCCTGGGAAAGTGCCGTATCCTAGCTTCAGTTTTACGGATGTAGCTCCACTCTCTTCTACACGCTTCCACACATAACCCCTTGTCTGGAACCTGCTGCTCTTACAAACAGCCTGCCACTCACTGTAACTTATCTTCACAGTGTACCATTTAGAAGAATTTGGAGGGACTGCACATCAATCACTTTCATTTCCAGAGCATTTTAAAAGTTTGTACTGTATTCCACCCATCCCTCCCCATCCCTACCTGACTGGAGTCATGACAGGAGCCAACTGCAGCTTTCCTGCAAATATGTGTCCTGTGGTGCATTACTTTTCCTTCCTTCTCTTTCATGATCCTGACATCGAAAAGGAAACTACTCTCTCCTTCCTAAAAAGAAAATACATCGTTCTTCTCTATTCATTCTTCTTTATTTCGCATTATGCTATTAGTTGCATATGAGGCAACTAAAACTACTATGGCTCGGGTCAGGCACATCTCAGTCTTTAAGGAACAGGGTTGGCTTTTTAACACTGGACAGAGTGCTTTTGCAGTGTGTTTGCCCACTGAAATATGCCATTTAATGTACCGAGTGTTACTTCCATGGGTATTGATTGTGGATTCAAATAAAATTACATTCTTCATCATGCCAGTATTTCTGTATTCATCACATTACTTATTGATACAGTTGTGAGTTTTTTATGTTGAGTTATAGTCCATACTACAGATTGTAGTTTTTAGTATTCATCAGTAATTGCTTCAAGTTCTCTTTGCTTTCAGCATGCATGACTCTGCCATTTGAAACTGAAATCTCGATATACAAAGTGTCTGTGGAAGGGGTTGCTGCTCGTCAGACAGGTAAGTGATCTTGAGGCAGGAACGGGAAGGCCCTTTGGAGGGGGTGAGCAAAGACATAGATGACAGGATGGTATGTAGAGAAGCTGAGTCTGAGATGAAGTCATTTAAAGATTTGTTCCTGGTTGGTACAATAGTAAAAATTCTCAGCTGTCAAGTCTATGTTAGAAAAATGAGCCACTTAAGATCCAAAAGGCAGTATTCCCCAAGGACAAGGATCAGAGGGCTAGGGAAGGAGGAGTGGAAACTGGAGACCCAGCGGGAAAGTGGGAAAAGCGATGAAGCGTTGAGAAGACAGACTGCAAGACGCGAGCTCAAATCAAATGTGCATACGTATGGAGAGTAAATCTGATTATTTGCTCGATAAGCCGTCATCCAACTCACAACAGAAAATAAAAATTAACACCAGCCACTGAAAACTCTTTAGAGTCTGTTACACACTCACAGCTGGCTGGGGTCACTAAGCATTGAAGTGGACTCAAGGGCAACCGAGTATTCTGTTGTAAGGCTTTGGCCTTTGGTCTAATACAAACATATCTGAACATAATTCATTTCCCTTTAGGTAGGAAAATGTAGACTATTTCAATGCCTGGTATGGTATAAAGAGCCATTTGTGGGATTCCCTCAAGTCTTTTGTAGGAATCCAGACACAAGATTCTTCTCTAGGATGGGAACATGCTATTCGTCTCCAACCCCCCCTTGCCAAGCACAGTAAGTCAAAGGGAAATGCTTTGGGTGGGCATGCTATCGGAGTTTGGAGTTTATTACAAGTAAAGTGAAAGTTTGGGGACAGATGTATTTTTGTATGTAGGCTCTTTTTTGTGTTTTTTTTTTAATTAAAGAATATTAATTTTAGGTTTAGAATGAAGTTGCCAGTATAGAGTTCCTATATGTACCTGACCCAGCTTGTCCTAAAATTTGCATTTTATGCCCATGGTATATTTATCAAACGTAGGAAATTAATAATGGTATAATCCTGTTCACTAAAAGATAGGCTTTATTTAAGGTTTCAGCAGTTTTTCCACTCATGTTCCTTTGCTGTGCCAACAACTGTTTGAGCGGGTCAGTCTTGCATCTTTAGTCTTACACCCTCTCTCCACCCTTTCTTGACTTATAAGATCTTGCAACTTTTGAAAATTACTATTCTGGCATTTTGTAGAATGTCTTTCACTTCAGGATTTATCTGATACTGTTCCATGATTAGACTGAGGATAGATTGTAGTGAGTCATACTATAGGGATTATCTGGTCTTTTCAGTGCTCATGTAATGTTTGGGGATTTGCTTTTTGTGTGTTGATTTTAGTTTGGGTTTTTGTGTACTTCTTTTTAGATTACATTCACTTTTAGTTTAAGGTCAGACTTTAAAAAATAGTTAACTATAAACAAACATGGATCAAAATTCAATTTTCTTATTTAAAATAAAAATATTCTTAAAACAATAGTATTCCCCAAAGGGGCAATACCACCCCGATGGCGTTGAAATGTGGGTGCTGCAAAATCAGATACCTACCCTTCATTCTGGATTATGGGCTAAATAGAAAGATGCTCAGTTGCCAAGGCACCCTGAATAACTTTTTTTCTGAAAAGGAGGCAGTTGGAAAAGTACATTTGGAGACCTATGTTCTAAGTATAAAGTCAGTGAAACATTGGTTAATCTTCTAAACTTCATTTTTTGTTAGCATTATTTTGGGAGTCATTTTTAAATGTATAATTCAGCGACATCTTAAAGGCTCACAAATTATACAACCATCACAATGAGCAAGTTTCAAACTTTCCTATCACTTCAAATAGAAAGTCTCTACTCCAAAAGCACTCACCTGTTCCTCTCTATATGCCCCAACACCTGGTATATACACCTGGTATATACACCTGGTGTATACACCTGAGAGCTTCTGGTATAAATTTTCCTGTAAGTGGGATCATATAATATTCATTTTATCCATTATATTGGCTATACCACACATTGAGTTTTCCTACTCATGTGTCGCTGGACTGATGGCTCGTGTCCACTTTGGGGCTATTGTGAATTAGGCTAAACGAACATTGCCAGGCAAGAATCTCTTGGAGTTTCTGCTTCTATTATTTGGGGTATAAAAGTATGCTTATAAGCTTGGCCATAAGATAATTCTATGTTTGATATTTTGAGGACCACCAAACTGTTTTCTACATTGTTATACTAATTTATATTCCTTCCAGTAATGGACAAAAAGGTCCCAATTTTTCCATATTCTTGCTAACAGGTGTTATTGTTTGTTTCTGATAATAGCAAGCATCATGGCTACTTACTGGTATTGCCTTGTGATTTTCATTTTCATTTCCTAATGATTAACAATGGGGTCCCTGTGGCTCTCTTGGGTAAGCACTGGACTACTAACTCCAAGGTCAGTCTTTCAAACCCACCAGCAGCTCAGAGGGAGAGAAGTGAGACTATCTGCTCCCATAAAAATGCAGAGCCTTGGAAATCCCACATAGGCTCACTAGGAGTATAAATTAACCTGATTGAGACATTGACAATGGCTAATAATGTTAAGCATTTTCATGTGCTGATTTGGTCATGTGATATTTACTTGCTTACTAGCTCCGACCTCTAAAAGCAGACCTATTTCTCTGATCTCTGTCCTTCTCTGTGCTCTACCCGCTCCAGAATAATAGACATATAATTAAAAGAAGCTTAATATATGACAGTCCCACAAAGTCCTATATAAGTCCCTATCCAGTTGTTTTTTTTAAGGAGCCTCATTACTTAAACATATTTGTTTCAATTTGTTTTTTCTTTCATTCTCCCCCACTCACATTTTTGGCAATTTGAAGCCACTACAGATGCAGCAGGTCCATAAGAACATAAATATTACCTTGCACAGAAGAGTTCTCCTTTTTAACATAATTCTTTCCAGTCTCTACTACACCGCTTTCCCCAGGGAATCTCTAGCTGGTAGCCCAGTCGGTCTACATTGGCAGGGATTGACACACACAAGACCTGTGTCTGCTTGCTCTCTATAAAGAAAATGATTCATTCCAATTACCTTTGCTATTGAAGATACATCTGTCCCCGTGCATTAAATCATACCCATCAACATGCTGCCTAAAGTAGGGATCTGTAAAGATGGGACACAATAGAAGGAAGACTTCTCTGTGCACTGAGATTATGTCTCTAAGGAAGTGGTAGAGGAAAATTAAAATGATGGGAAAATTACTTGGTTACACATTTGGGAATGATAAACTGAATGCTTTCAAGGTGCTTTCGGTGGAACTTAAACACTTGAAAACGTTTCTAGGTCTGAGACACGCGGAGGAAGAAAGTCTTGTCACGGTGCTGCTTGGCAGGCTTCAGCACAGGTGTTTCCTGTCCTGGAGTGCAAGGTGTTCGAGTCTGCCGTGGAGCCTTTACACGTGCTTTCCTTCTGCCCAGTGGCTCTCTCTTCCCCTTCGTTTTCCCTGCCTCAAGACAGCCTTCACCCAGCTCATAGAGCACACCTGCTTCTCCTTCCACGTCCCTATAATTGCATGTGTCCTTCCTTCATAACATCTAGCATTTATGATTAAATATCTGTGGAACAAAGCCTCTCATTTATCCTTCAGAACAAAGCCCCAAAGATCCAGAAATACAGTTTTGATATGAGTTTCTGAAATGGTTGGCACTCCATGAAAGTGTATCGGATATGAGGGCCATTGTGTCTTTTGATCCACTGTTTTTTGGTGAAATGCCTGGCTGGAAAAAGACACATCATGTCTTTATTAAGCAATGACGGCAACATGATGCAGCAGGAGGAGAAAAAGCATGCATTTCAAAGCAAACACATGTGTGTTCAAACCTCTGTTCTGTGATTAGCTATCTCTGTGAGTGTGATAACTAACTTAGCTCCTTTAGGCCTTAGTGATAATAGCGCTTCATGAAAATGCAGCTTTATGAGAACTAAAGAAGACAGCAGGTAAAAGAACATACCAGTGCCTGTTGTGTATTGTGTGCAAGGTATCTTTCTAGTCATTTTACAAAATTGGAGAAACAAGTTTCCATAATATAATATCCTGATTCCTAAATATCATTGGGAGCCCTAGTGGTGTAATCATTAAGTGCTTAAGTGAAAGGTTGGCAATTCAAATCATCTGGCCACGTCAAAGGAGAAGAGATCTAGTAATTCATTCCCATAAAGATTTCAGTCTAGGAAACCCTAAGGGGCTCTTCCACTCTGTCCTCTAGGGCCACTGTGAGTCAGGACTGAGTCAATGTCACACACACAATGCTTAGATGCCAGTTTGCTATGTTCCTCATCCATGTCTTAACGCTTCAAGATATACATTCTGAATCCCACTTATAGTATTAATGTAAGAATGAAGATGCATTTATTAATATTCACAAGAATACATGTCCAATGTAAATGAGCAAATAAATAAGAAGTCATTTTCTAATCCATTTTCCCTGGGTTACCAGTGGGAGGAGGTGCACACAGGTCGTACTCAGCTGATCACAGTAAGTTTGGCAGCAAAAATCCACCAAGACCACCTCAAAGAAAGATGTGGCGATGCACTTCAGAGAAATTTGTCATTTAAAACCCCAAGAGCAGAGTTCTTCTCTGGAAAGCACAAGGTCACTGTGAGCCAAAATCAGCTCCATGCATGCACGCTTCATTTCAGTTCCTAGATAGCCGCCCAGGCCTCTGACCTGGATCATAAATTTGCTACATTAACCACTCTGCTGAAGTGTGGGTAGAAAATTTAAATTGTACTGCTAGATAGTAGAAGTCAATCCCAAATTAAAAGATGTACAAGAGAACAAGGAATAGTTACATTAGCACTTCAAAGTAAAAAAGCGAAAAGTAAAACTTTCAAGGGTAAAGTTTAAGAAATACCTTAGAACAAAATTATTTGAAGTGCTTCAATTCATGAAATAAAAGAATGGTTATCTAATGATATCCATTATATCCTGATAATTACCTTATGATACATAGTGAAACAATTAAAAGTGGTCAAATAAAATATTGATAATAAAATATGTGAGATTAGAGATTGTTCATACAGAAAACAAGACTTGTTTACATTTCTAAAACATTTACAATATTCTATGCTCTCTACTGGACATTTTCATTAATTTATTTTTCTTTGGATCTTATATTTAATCAAGAAATATTTACTGAGTGCTTATTACTATGGTTAAGGCACTTCAACAAGATAGAATTGGTCAGTGCCCTCATGATACACACCATACAGTAAGGGAATTGTTTCTTAAACTTCCCAGAATAATCTAAGGTGAGCAAATCATCTCAGCTGATCTTTGAGACTCGTTAGGCAAAGGGGGACAGTTGGTCAATGTGGTGAAGTAAAATCGCTTAAATATGGCTTTTCTATCCATGTCTTAGAGGAGACCTGGTGGCATAGTGATTACACATTGGGGCTGTGATCCACAAGTTCAAAGCTACCATCTTTTCCTCAGGAGAGATATGGGAATATCTATATATACTCATATATAGTTACAGTCTTGAAAAGTTGCATGAGCAGGTCAACCCAGTCCTACAGTTTACTATGAGTTGCCATTAACTTGATTTTAGTTTGGTTTGAGTGGAGCCGTGTCTTAGTAATCCTGACGGCATCATGGTGATGCAGTGGGCTGCTGGCTAGAAGATAAGCAGCTCAAAATCACAAGCTGTGTGGTGGGAGAAAGATGAGGTTTTCTAATTCTGTACAGCGTTATAGTCTTGGAAACCCACATGCGCAGTTCTACGCTGTCTTATAGGCTTGCCTGTCTTATAGTCAGCATCAACTTGATGGCAGAGAATTTTAGATCCGTCTTTGTAAATCCCACCAAATTATTTGGTGAGACCAAACAGAGTGCGTGAGACACTAGCAGGGAAGATGGGTCAGTTTTGCCATTCCTCTGAATATGAGAGCCATCTCAAAAAAAGAGAGAGAATCCCATGACCGTCAAGAAAGAAGAGTCACGAGTAGAGTGTGTGTGAGGTTTCTGTCTGAAGCAGCAAAGGCCACACGACTGAGACCAGAAGACAGAGCAGAGCAACATTGCTGAGGCCGGAGGCAGAGTGCAGGGCGTTCTGGCCCACACGTCAAGGCACCACTTTGCTGAGAGAGAGGCCAGAGGGAGATTTGATTGCTGACTGAGAAGAGGCTTTGCTGTGGACAAAAGATTGCATGTATCTTTAGAGCTCTCTGATCCAGCCTTGTTGTAACCTATTTACTTCCCTAATAAACCTCTATATTCATGACTATTGTCTGAGTTCTCTGTTGTCATTCTGATAGGTTATCTAACTCAGCATAAAAGTAGGGTGTGGGCAAAGTGCAATGCTCTGGGAGGAAGGTTTGTATCAGAAAATGTAAAGGAAGTGGGACTAACGGCCTCTCTTACCTCTGAGTTGTGGCAATAGGTTTTGGGCTGGTGTGGCATTGGATTCTCCTATTCCTTTGTGCAGCCCGAGGGGGTCAGGGGTGCCCCCCATTCCATTCCCTCAACTAGTCAAATTACCCAATACATAATAAATAGCAGTAAGTTCTACCAAGAAGAAAAGCAAGACTGTACAGAGATCAAGTTTTATTAGGTAAAACCAGGGGTGGGAAGGTGGGGAACCAAAAAAGTCACTGATAGGGGTTCTGAGATTCTGTTACTGGTGGTAGAATCATGCGGAAATGGATAGTGGTGATGATGGCATCACGTGACGAGTATAATCCATGTCACTGAAGTCCATTTGGAAAAATTGAATTGGCGAAGGTTTCATTATAAATATGCATGTATATTTACCACAGTAAGATCTTTAAAGAAAAAAAGTATACTGTTTCATGAACAAAGTATAACTAGCTCTCTCTTGCAGATAAAAAAGTTGAGAATTAGGAACCTTAAGTAATACGCACAAATTAGTGTGTGGTGAAGTTGGGATTTGACCCCAGGCTGCTTTAACTCCCGATCTCATGACCTGATTTTATGAATGAGCTACTGCCTCCCCACCTATTTTGCGTAAGAGTCCAAATCTCAATTTGTGCTGGTTGTTGAAATGCTGGGGTGGCCGAAGAATGCTCATCAGAAGAAAGAAAGGCGGCAGAGCCAACGCCGCGGGGCTGCGTTCCAAAAGCGGCTACGAGCTTGTTCAAAACTCCTGAAAAAGAAACACCTGCACATTCCTTCCAGCCCCATACTTCAGCGGTAAGGAGCTTGCAGACAAAACAAAAGACAGCATATTTCAGCTTGGCTGGAGTCTTTTGTGGAGATAAATGGTGTTTTTTCAAGTGTGAGGGGTAGAATTGGAAAACGGGGCTATTAAAAATTGGCAAGGCATACTACAGAACGCCAGGGTAGTGTGCGGAAACTGTCCCTGGGGAACATCGTCATCCACCAGCTGTGTATTTGGGTTATTGAGACCCACTTTTCTCCTGGTAGAACGTCAACAAGGAAGGGGCCATGCATTAAGGTCGTTTCTTTGGCTGCCATCACTGATCTAAGAGACCAAGTGGCCTTGACAATCGGCACAGTGGCACATAGAGAACAGACGGCGCGAGGAATCCATTATCGCGTGTTAGCATCCGTGACGCAATGCACTTTGCCTGTGCTGCTCACTATATTCCGTCTTCACGTAAGTGTGTCTTGCACACAAGTGGACGACAGTGTTTATAGGAAAGACAGAGGAATGAGGGGACAAAACTTCTGTTTTCTAGTTTGTAATTGTGTGAAAGCCACTTTAGCTCCCCGGGCCTTCATGTTCACATCTATTAAATGAGAATATGTGACTAGATGGCATCTCTTTTTTCTGATTCTCAGAACTTTTGCACAAAGTACTAAACTCATCTGAGGTGTGCTCTCCAAGTTAGGAATCCCATCCATGAGCAGGATGATCCTCAAAGTCAGGAGTTATCTTTAAATGGCCACATAGAGGAGCAGGATTAAGTTAGGCATGGCCTAGTCATATAAAAAATAAATTCCCATTAACCTCAATGCTGCCGAAGTATATTCTTCATCAGGAAATTATTCATAGTAATGCTGACTTGAAAACAAGCTAGAAAAGAACACATAGTATAATGTGATCCATATACAAGATGGCCTTCAAAATCCATGAAGAAATAGAATTTCAAGGTAACATCAGCCCCTTTATATGCTCCATTAAAAAAATCTAAAAAGATATATACTAGCATATTAGCAATTAATATCATTGGGCGGTGAATTTATGGATAAATTTTTATGGTTATCTGCATCGTTTAATTTCCCACTATGACTATGTGCTGTCATATAATATAAATAGATATAATGATCCACTACCTATTAATCAAAGCCTGTGGCGGCAGCAGTCAAGATATAAAACAACCTACCACACTGGGTAATGTGCTGAGAAGACCTCTTTAAAATGTGAAATAGAAAAGACGGCATCGTGAAGACTGCCTGATTCAAGCCACGGAGTTTTCCATTGTCTTATATGTGGAAGTCTGACAACGAATAAGGAAAACCAAGGGAAAACTGATGCCTTCCAATAATGGTATTGGCTACGAATATGAAATATGCCATGAACTACCAGAAGGATGAAAAAAACTGTATTGGAAGAAATAGCGGCAGAATGCTCCTTAGAAGGGAGGATGGAAAAAGACTTTGTCTCGTGTACTTCGGGCGCAGTACATCCTAGAGAAGGGCATCGAGCTTGCTACAGTTGTTGCTGTTGTTGTTATGTGCCAGGATGTTGATTCTGACGTATAGGGAGGGGCCTGTGTGCAACAGAACAAACTCTGCCTGGTCCTCGCCATCCTCACAATTGTTCTGACGTTTGAGCCCATCCATGCGGCCACTGTGTCAACTCATCTCGTGGAAAGCCTTTCTCTTTTTTCCTGTTCTGCTACTTTACCAAGATTGATGTCCTTCTGCAGGCACAGGTCTCTCCTAACAACATTTCCCGAGTACATGAGATGAAGTCTCAACGTTCCTGCCTCTAAAGAGCGTTCTGGTTGTACTTCTTCCAAGACAGATTTGTTTGTTCTTTTGTCAATCTACGGTAGGAAGACCCTCGCCAAGGGGCTCCAGTGTAATGGCTGTGAAGATGATTCAAGACTGGGCAATCTTTCATTCTGCTACGCGCTGGAATGGACACTTGTCATCTACAAACAGCACCTATAATGCAGCAAGCTCTTTTCTGGTGAAGTGAAAGAATGTCGGGCATAGAGAATCCTCTCTGGAATCAGATGCCTGATTTAAATCCTAGGTGATCCGCTCAATCATTGCTGTGTGGCCTCAGTTAAGTTGCCCAACCTCTTTTAACTTTAGTTTCTCTATATATAAAACAATAACACTCAACTCATAGGTCTCCACTGACCTTTAAGATCCATGCAAAGTTTTTGGCATTATTCACTTGACAAATGCAAGCTATTATTATGCCAAATACAAAAAGAACTTATTTTAAAATGCCAAATGATAGTCATTATCCTTAGGGAATTTTTAATTTGATCAGAATAATAAAACCCCAGCAAAAGAAAACATTACAGTAGCTTCCCATAATCAAGAATTTGGAGAACTTTTTGTCTTCTTCCTCTCCCTTATCCTATACATTTGACTAGATGCCATCATCTGCCTTTTATAGATTTGGTATATAATTTTCATGTGCATAGTCACTCATATCTTCTCTTCCTTCTTCTCAAAAGAGCTTCCTGGCCTCCTGTCTCTTCCAAGTCTCATCACTCCATAGCAGTGGTTCTTAAGTGAGCTTCTAGACCAACAGCATCAGTCCAATTCATAAAATGATCTAACAACAGAGAAGTAACTAATGCTCCTTAGGTATCATGCATTATATGATAGTTCTAAGCCTTTTCTTGTATTAACCCCTAGAGCTATAACATAATTTTTACTTACTTCCTTTCTTAGATGTTCAGATCTTTCTCGCCCTCACGATCTCGGGTCCATCCATGAAACACCTCTTAATACTGCATTGATGAGCAAATAGAAATGATTGCTCTGTCTTCAAAATGTTCAATGCATCGACCCAGTCTGTCTTCATCTTTGACCTTATTATCACTGGTGACAATTTGCATATATGAGCTATTACCGCTCCTTAACAGTATATTGCTTGAACATAGCACATTTCTAGTTTCCCAATCTGTACATAACTCAACTCACTGCCATCAAATCAAACCTAACTCAGAGAAGCACAACAGGACAGAGTAGAACTGCCCATTTGGGTTTAAGGGTATAGAAAATCTAATTTGTCTCCCACAGAGTAGCTGTTAGATTTGAAGTGAAGACTTTGTGGATAACAGCATGCTGGGTAATCTACTATGCCTACATATTCTCTTCAATGATGCCCATAAGATCTAATTCATAAAATTAACAGATTTTAAATAGCATTGTTTAAGGGATGATACAAAATTTAGGCACAATGTACTTAATATATGTATGGCTCATTCTGTTATGGATGATTTGGCCATCAGGAAGGTCTATGAAGGGCACAAGGCTTATAGAAGGTTTCATGGAGAAAGAGGGGTTTCTTGATTAAAGGACAAGATTTGGGCAAAAAGAGTAAAAAGAGGCAGAACATTCTAATTCGAGAAATAGTATGACCAAGGGAGTGTGGAAAATCAGAAAGCATTCTGTGCTGGCAGAACCAGAGCTCCTGTGAGGGTTCTGTGGCACCGGAGGCTGATGCTGGGAGGAGATGGGCACTGATCCCTGGCTTGCTCATCTTGTTAGTTGAATGATCATTGCTTGGTCTCTTTTATATTTTCTCTGCTAGTTTATTACTCCCTGATTGGCCTCTAAATTCTGTTTCTGTGAGAAGAAAATTGAGTTGACAGCCAAATGTGCCTGTAGAACCCTGGACTTCCATTCTCCTGACATTAATCATGCTTTTGTACTAGAGGGTAAGCTAAAGAGTAAGTTTAAAGACCATGTCTGTCTTGATATTAAGGTATCTCAACTGTTTGTCATAGGATAGCCTCAATCAATATATCCCAAAGGAATCCATGAAAATGAGGAAGCTATAAGAATGTATATGTATACATAAATGAGTATATATACATGTATACGTACATGTATATTTGTTTATATACATGTGTATATATTTTTATAAGTGTATATATTTAGTGTGTGCCTGTGTGGAGATGGATGGATGCTCTCTCTCTGTACCTTTAAATTCCTGATCCTTCAAAAATAACCACTCAACTCTGTTTCCAAGGGTTTCTAACCAATGTACATTGCTTACATGACTTCATTTTTCATTCCCCAATTTTATTTATATCTTGAGTCTACTAAACAGATTTCATTCCTATTTTTGTTTTATTTTCAAGTGAATACAGCACTTTGATTCACAAGAAATATAAAGGCATATAATAATACAGACTATGCTTATATTCAAATTCAAAGCAGATTGCAAGTTTGAAAATTGTGGCCTTAAGCAATTGATTCTTAAATTGTAGCACAAAAGAGACCATAAGAGCCAAAAACTCAAATGGAAAGTGAGATATTTTTATATTTCCCCCTTTTTGCTCCTCTGTACACATCCTTAAAATGCAATAAATAAGAACTATATACAGTTTGTGATTTTGTGCCGAGTACTATATTCTTCTAATTGGTGGCATTAACCTTGATAATCGTTGACAAGTAAGAGTAGTTTTGGGCCACCATTATGCTTTACTCTTTTCTTTGCAAGGGAGAATTATTAAATTCTTACCTTGTGATTTAGATGAAATATTAAATCTCTTTCAAGGAAAAATTCTCCATAATATTTCCAGATATTCTCATAATATGTGGTATGTGCATTTTAATGACAACCTTATAATTGGGTTTATTGTATATAGGTAATGGAGTCACATAAAAATAATACTTGATTGATAGGACCTACTATTATTCCCATCATACTAAACATGTACGTATTGAATGTGTCCTATCTTTTCTGCAGAATTTCAGCACTCAGTAAGGCAAAATACTCAGTTTTCTAATATATTAATTATAATAATGCTATGACCTAAATATTATGATCATTATCACAGAAGAAAAGTGTGATCTTCATGATAAGTAACTTGCCCAAGGTCACACAGCTCGTAAGTTAAAAGGCCATACTGTTGTTCAAGTTTGTTTGACTTCAGAACGTATGTGTTATTTGTTAAATCAATCTGAACCGAAAATGGTGAACCAAAAGCAAATCAACTAATTTTAGGAAAATGGGGGGAAAATACCAG